AAAGACCATTCACAAGACGTTCAATTTCTTCGGCTTTTAATAATTTACTTAGTAAGGATATTAATAATGTAAATAATTATTTGTACCTGTTAATACTTTTATTACAGTTCTTGCAAAGCAGAGATATGTTACATTGCATAGCTGCGAAGATTCGATTGAGCTAAGCCATATTGAAATTGGACCAAAGAAATACCAATTTCACGATTAAAACCGATAAAAATTTGATGATAAAAAACACTTATTTATATTAGAATAAATATTATTTTATTTTTTAAGTAAATAATTTAAACTCTCTGTTAAGTCAATGCCGAAGTATATGTCATATTAAATGTTAAGTTCAAATGTTTATAGATTTAAGATTAATATATATTATAACAAAAATATTAGTTTCATTATTGCAATTATTCATTTATTATGGCAGTATTTTAACTGTTATACGAACAAATATTCTTCAACAACTTAAAGGTAATTATCCGTTACTTAAATTTCTTGAATTATGAAACATTAAATATATTTAACAATTTATTTTGTTAGAGAGTTAAATTATCTGTAAAATTTAATGATGATGATTTGTTTTTTTTTTCGGTAACAACTGTTCATTAAATCTAATTGAGAATGAAATTTAAAGAAAAAGGAGACTCATTAGATGACGATAGTAAAAAAGAGAAATCTTGTAAAATTTGGATAAAATTGAAAATGTACACTTTCAATTCTTGTTTTGCTCTATTATTTCTTATTATAGATGTGAAATTTATTCAGGAACAATAAAATTTAACAGTTATAATAATTTTCTGGGTTAATATCATAAAACGTACATAAAATGCAGTTGTAAACAAATACTCATTTTACTGCATGTATTGCAAACAACAACATAAAATTGATAATATTTTTTGTTTGGTTATCATTTGCATATGTTTATTGTCGATTCGGATTGAGTTCTAGTTGGTAGGTGAAATAATAGATTGTTCAGCTGAGAATGTTTATATCGAACGGAGGTGTTAGTTGTTTTATTTCAACAGAAACGAATGCAATGTGCGTTGTGAATAATGCTAGTTGGTAGATCTCTTTTGGAAGGACAGAAATAACCGTGGCCCAAAATATAAACAGTTTGTGTATATGCTGCTGATACTGATTTCTTGCTGTTGCTTCTGGTGTCGGGGATCCAGTTTTGTTTTGCTTTACTCCATCCTTCAATATCCTATTTTTTTTTCTCTTCTCCCTTTTTTGTTGGTATTTCGTGGGGGTACGTTCGGTGTAGAAACGGTGTCGGAAATGGGCTTCCGCGTCTTTAAATGCATCATCTTCGAGGTCATCGCTTCCTCCTGTCGTACTGTTCTCCCAGTTTCTCGCCGTGGCCGGCCACTTGAGCCAACCGAAGTGTCCCTCGGCAACGCTTATTCAACTCGCCTCCGTTCTTCGGGTCAAACGCGATCTCGCTGCTGCTGCTGCGTCTTTGTTTAAGCAAACATGGCCGCAATGTCTTCTTCAAATGTTGTTTCTTAACTGGGAACTCTTCTGTATTTTATTTCCGCGAGTTTTGTGTGACCTTAGGTTCAATTATTATTTGGATACACTGTTAAAGAAAAGCTAGTAAGTCCATGATACATGTAACAAAAGAAAATTACCTTACTAATACAAAATAACCGCTTACTTTTCAATAAATCGCACACATTAATACCATGTATATTGATGAATAGACCGATTTGGATACACGACACGTTCGTTTAAATATTTAAAAACTTATTAATATAATTAAGAAAATTTAAGTAAAGTATATTAATAAAACATATGTGTAATTTAATACTAATTTATTTAAGTTACTTAAGAAAATCTAATACATTTATTAATCAATATTTAAAAAAATAATATAAAACTGTATTATTTAGTAAAAGTTTCGGATCGTTTATTCTTATATATAAAAAAAAAGTATGTAAAATGTGAATCAGTAGACTTCTATTTTTCATATTGCGAATGAATGGGAAAGTATGGTGGTTCTTGCAAAATCAATTACAACTTGTTTTCAATAAGAAACTGAAAGCGATAATGGAACTTATTGTTTTTTTGCATAGTGAATTGTGTGGTCGCTCTTAAAGGCGACCGATTGCAATTTAATAATGCGTTCGTGTGTATTTCCTGTGCCCACAACAATTCTATCTTGCCTCTGTCCAAAACGCGTGGGAATTGTTCCACATCCAAGTCATTTTTTAAAAAACCTATAAAACAATGCTCTTTAAAACATTTTCTTTAAATAATCGTTTGAAGAAAGCTATCAAGGTGAAAATATTTGTTAGTATAAACGGATTTTAAGCAAACATAATTTAAGTTTCTCAGCTTGAATGGATAATGATAAAATTATAAACGCAGATGGTTTATATTGAATCTGATTGACTAGATAGTTTTCACTTTAACTTAGCTTATATTTCTTCTTTATTATTAATAACATGTTTAGGAAATTGACAGGTAAAGTGTCATAAAGAATAATAAAGCTATTGGTAAATGTATTGATTTATTATATAATAAAATGACTTAATCATTTTTTCTATAACAATCTCTCTTCGGAAGATAATAAACTGAAGTGGCTTTAATCATAATTTACATAATACATTTTTAATTTGTTGATCCTTGTTTTGACCTTACTTTCTTGTCTGTTATTAATAATCGATTTATGCATTTAACAAAATATTGTAGTTGAAGATAAAATATAAATATTATTGAAACAATATATTTTATTTGACAACAAATACAGTAAATCCTTGTAGTAGTAATAGCGTACAATAGACATAATAATTTGGATGAATCTGTTTAGTGTGTACCATCATACATATTTAGTGTCCATTAAAATATGTTTAAAATATCACGAGGTCGAACCTAAGGTACGAGCAGCAACGAAATATCTCACGCATAATGCATTTTAATGGATGCGTTTATTGTTGTGGAACACGTTTTCTCCAACACGTACAGCGTGAGACTGAATACGATTTATGCATAAGGAAGTCCACTTACACTAGATTCCAACAATAATTCAACAACGAGACGAGGTGTTTCTCCGTTTATTTAACTATTCTAGGAAGAGTCATTGCGCAATATTGGAATATAGAGCTCAGACAGTAAAAGAAAGTTATATGTGTTTGTCTATTATTAAACAAGTAAATAAAATATTTTTTGTTTTTGATTCTTATTAGAACGATTTCATCTTATTTTTACTATAAAGGTATTATTAGTTATTATAAATAAATAAATTGTATTTTTAATGTAGAAAAGAATGTAGAAATATATATTGAAACTACTGTTATATCAGAAAATCCTATGATTCATGATTTTTTTACTATCTAATTTTACGTAATGGTTTTGATGCGAAACTAAATTAGTCATTGAATTGAATTTATATTATTTATTTATAATGTCATCTAAAGTTTAGTAAAATATATTGTTTATTTAATATTAATTTTATTTAATGGTTATTACTTATGATTTTAGTAAACTGAAGATTATTGGTGAATGAGAATCGCTGGGTTATTTGAGTCTGTTAAATATTAAGTAAATAAGATAGGCAATAAAAAAGCTATTAATACGGTGCAGAGACTGAAAATGAACTGAATGCAATTAAGTATGTTTATCGTGGATGCATCCCTGAATCTATCCACTTGATGCGCTTCTGGTTTTCCTATAGGTTATTTCGGTCTATTGAATTATTTATAACAACACTCGAACACAAAAGTATCGAGAGTCCACTTACAAGACCGAAGAGCCAGACGATGCTTTGTATATGCCCGAGATTTACATGCACGTAAATAAAACAACTCGAGAATCTCAAAATATACAAACAAAAAACAGCGATCAACAAATGCCCACATGTTGGAGACCTAGTCTAGCCGAGGCGGCTTCGGTTCCCCACTCCTTCGGTTGTTCACCTTGCGCTCACCAACTTATTTGTACCTAAAGGAAAGTTATGTACTCAAAGAGTAAAAACGAGTTTTCTTGCCGAAGAGCTTAGAAAACCCTTCGCGCTTTACGGTTCCATTAACTAACTATAAAAACGGTTTAGTTTCCGGAGAAATTCTACGTTAAACAACTACAGCTTAAAATAAAAACGAAGGTTTACCTGAACATTAGTTACGCAACGTTTCTGTTTGTTTTCCTTTTCGGATGCATTGATTTATTTGCGACGGTCTAATCGATAGTAATTGCAGAACGGTTAAATGCGCAATTAAAATTCTCGCTGCTTTAATCATGTAACGGAGATAAAATGTGTCGCGTTGACTTTCTATTATTATTTCGCAGATCGCATTGCAGTTGCAGCTCACGTAATTACGCCGTGCTGGAAAATGTGATTACGGTTTTGTGAATAAATTCCTGATGCAAATTTCGGTGATTTTAATTTTTCACTCGCGACGCGACGAATTCGCAAATCGGCCGAATTAAACGCAAGTTTTTTGTTGTTTTAATGTTACTTATTCATTTGATTGCATATTATATCTCTGTGCAGTGAAGTGTGACCAGTAAGTTTATTGCATCTGTGTTTATTTACAATCTATCACTATAAAACATTAAGTAAATTACTTTGTTGATATTTCACCTTGTGGAACGAGTATAACTGTATAATAGTTTACTTATAGGTTTAAATGTTATATTTAAGATATTCAGTATTACGAATGATCTGACATCATTGTGACGTTATTTTGACATAGACTAGTTGTTTCTTGATGTTGTTTAACGTCATTTTGACGTTGACCTGTCATATGCTTAATTTCCTATTATTAACAGAAGTTCTTTTATTTAGAAAATATTTAAAAAAAGACAATTACTTTCATGTTATTTAAGATTGAATTTATAAAAACTGATTTTATAAAATAGTATAATAAATAGACGAAAAGATATTTTTCAATTTTTGGACAAGTATAAATGTTTTGTAGGGTAAATAAATGGATTGTTATTATTTGAATTTATTTTATTCCTAATACAGAGTATCTTAAAGCATATAGTAGTAGTAGTAGGTAGTATCTGGTTTTGCGGTTTAATTATTCAGTGGTTTTACGAAGGGATTGGCCGGGTAGAACTGTTGGTGGTTGAGTGAAGTGTCTATCGATCTTCTTCGTCGTTTACCATTCACGACTCCCAACTGCAGAAGCACCGGGTTCGTGGTCAACGCAGCGGCAGCTCCAAGCAATGCGATCCCAGCCAGAGGAATTAGTAAGCCTTTCAGAGCGAGCGCCTGGAATTTTAATGCAGGAATTTTCATTGCGCTCACGGCGAAAATATCATTTCATAGAAGCAGATGGTATACCGATGCACCCAGATAATGACTCCCATGTATATGTAATCTTACCATTCAATTGCTCGGAATGCGTATTAAGAATGTTCATCGTCGGGGCACTCCAAACTCTAAAATTGATCTTGTACTCGAGCTCATTTCCTGGACGAAATGCTTACGGAATAAATTTTACAGTCCGTTTAGAAAGGTCTAAATCCGCCGTTCGTTAGCAATTCATTATTTAAAATATATCGTTTGTATGTTTCTTCGATTATAATTATTAAGTATTATAATATAAATTGGATTGGATATCAAATATTCTATCAAATATAACGCTAGTTCTTAAGTAATTTACATTTAACGTTTCTATATGTATAATATATTACAGGTTTGCAATTAAAAGTGATATTAGAGAAGCAAACTGTCTGAATGAGTGCGTTTCGAGAATGAAATGTTGCCGGTTGTTATGCAATTAAATAAAAACAAGAGCGTTGCATGTGGATTGTGATTTAGATATCCAATTAGGAATGAGACTGAGCTTCCTGTTTTTGTTAACTATTTGCGTTATGCTGTTCCGTTCGTGGTGTCATGAATCTAACCGATGAATGTGGTAACAGATCAATCGGCAAATAACAGGAAATTATACTGTGGCCACAAAGAAATTGGCATGTAATAAAAGCATGGAACTTACTCCATTGAATCCTCCTTGATGGCCAAGTCCGAAGCCTCCGTAACTTTGTCCGTGACCCGTGACCCCGTGGCCGATTCCGTGACTTCCAACAGAACTGCCGTGACCTCCGCCAGAAATCCCATGGTTTCCAGAGATTCCGATATTCCCTCCGGCGCTTATGTAACTTCCAAAACCGCCTTTGTCGTATCCACTGTAGCCCTGATCTCTGTTACCACCGTATCCCGTATATCCTGTAGTCCCTGAGCTGTATCCATGGGTCGCACCGCTGCTGAATCCGCTCCCCGTCGAACCATGCGAATCGTATCCTGCAACCATTAGTCATTAATACCGAACACACGTTTATCAATTGGTGTTAATTACCTGAAGGATAATAATATTGAGGATGCTTGTGCGTTGCGCTTGTCGAATGCAAGCCACGGGTAATTTTTCCACCTTCGTTTTTATTGTTTTCGACGTTTTCCGGTGCGCCGCGGCGTTCCTCCTCGCTGATTGCGTTCTGTGTTATTAAATTAAAAGAAGAGAAACAGTAAGACAGCCCACTTTGAAGAAAGTTCCTTTAAGCAATTAAGATTTCAATAAGAATACCATTGAAATACTTGAGGAAGACACACCTCGTAGTTTGTTGTATTGTTTTTTCAATACATTCTTTGATTCACAAATAATTATATCTTTATTATTATAAATCTTATATAGATATCATAAATCGAATTGTTTCATAATATTTTAGAATCTTAATACAACATTCCTGATATATATTTGGTTTATTGGATAGTTATAAAAAATAGATATATAATAAATATTGTGTAGAAATGTTCTGTCAGTTTTGTATGATTTTAAGTAATAGTAATCAATATGGTACAAATGTCAGTCTGTTAGACTCTAACGTCTAACCAATCGTTTAGGATCTACTAAAATGACAATTTTGAAAATAGAATGATATTTGAAGAATTGGTCATAAATTGTTAAATAAATAGAAAGTTTTAGTAAGAACATAATTTTGTTGATGATTCGATTATTAGATATTTAAGTTCTGAAATATACAATCCGATAGAATTGAAAACATAAAAATTTGTCTCATATTGAAAAGTTAAGGTATGTAACCAAATCAGCAAGCGTTGAAATAGAATTTGAATTACTTGATCTGATGTTATATGACATATTAGTTATTTGTATCATGTTATCAAAATTTAAATATTTGTATTTCTTTTTTACATTTTATTAGTTTTTCTCACCAAGAATTTATTTTTATGTATAAGATTTATTAATAAAATTTCTTGGTTTTTCTTAATATATATGAACATTATGATTATAGAGTGATGAAAATGCTTACATGTATATTTGATGGTTCAGAATTCGATATAGATTTGGCACAGTATCCACCCATGAAGAAAATCAACAGAAACAATTTCACTTGCACCATATTTGTTATCAATCAAAACGTTTCCAAAACTCAAATTTGAGGTACGTGTTGAGAATACAGGTTGTATACTGGTGCAAAAGACATTATGTGCTGGATTTATATCTGTCCTGGATGTGCAAAGATTAGAGGTGGTTGTGGTGGTGGTTCTAGAGATACACATACACACTTATGGCATAACTGCAGACACTTTTCTCTTCCATTGTCATACGGACTTTTTGGACCGAGAACTTCGAATGCGATATGCCTGGATAATCCAGAACAATCCCCGCGTACATTGCGTCCGCTCAATTTTAACAAGATTTATTTAATAATATCCCAAGCTCTGGCCACGCAAGTCCACCTATTACGCAAGTGATATTACCTTGTTATTATATTAATTATGTTCGTTATTTTTGTGTGTTAAATTAAAAATATTTTGTTGTAGATGCTCGTAATGAAATATTGTAGGGAGAAGAATATAATAGAAGAAAGCGAGAGGTGAAGAGTGTTGAAAAAAGGTATCAACGTTATTGTAGAGTGCAGAACTTAATATGGCATTCCTGTGGAGAGCGCAGGGCGAAAATATTATATTACTAGGGTAGATGAAATCCCATGTGGGGTGCTCTGGAATTACCAACATTCAACTGTCGCAGTAAACACTGAAGGACCGTATGACACCGAAACGCCGTTCCTTTTTTTCTTTCTCTCTTCTTCTTTGCCACCGCAGCCTTATGCCTTTGTTTACATGGAGCCGCCCCCGCACAAACAGCGAACAGTGGCGTGCGATCATAAATAACACAACCCGAAATGTTTTCAATAAATTTGCAAAATTTATTAAGCATCGTTTTAATGAAAAATTCTTACATATTTTACAAATATTTTAATACCTTAATGTATATAAAGCTACAATATATAAAATTTATTTTAATAACAACAATTTATCTGCATATCCATGGATAAAAGATGTTTGAAAAATGAAACAACGGATAATAGCGTCGAGTGTCAATTTCAGTTCAAGAATAAAATCAATATAATTAGTAATGCAAGATATATTTATTAAAGGTAATCATTAAAGTATATACTTCATGTGTAATAATACTTTTAATAAGTCATAATTATATAGAAATATTTATATCAAATGTTATCACTAAATTGTATATTTTAACTATTTTATAGTTGATTCATATATTGAAGTAAATAAATATAATAATTTATAATTTATTCTTATGTAATTGCAGAAACAGTTTTAATTTATTATATCACTTACAAGTCAATATAATAAATTAAAACTGTTTCTTCTAATGAATAAATTTGTTCAGAACATTTTGAAAGTATTCTAGTTGAATAACTGGATCATGCATTTGAAACGAATTATTGAATTAAACATTAATGTCATTGATTTGAAAGACCCAATGTTGCCACGTCATATTCGAGTAATTACAATGTGTTATGTTATATACACTAGGTCCTCTTTTTATGTGTACTCTTTTTATGCGGTTTTGAAGTTATGCGGATTTTATTACAAGAAGTATTTTTTTAAATAACTATTTAGGCCATTATGACACGTTTTGACACAAATTGGCAAACCATTTCATCGAAAAAGATGATAATTCTGAACGAGCATTCAAGTTTCAACGCGAGCTTCAGAATTACATTTCTGGATATCAGGAATTGTACAAAAAAATAGCAAAGCCATCGCAAAGTTTAATCACTGATTATATTGTCAAAGGGAAAAACTCAACATGCGAAGTTGAGACTAATTTTACCTTCACAAGTAATCATTATCTTCATGACATAGATCTGATATGCTGACTATCTCTTCTAGTGATGAAAGTGATTTCGAACCAGTTCGCAAATTATGCCGAACACTCTCATATAGCGACGATAATTCAAAGAAAAAAATGTGAAGAAAGATTAACTTTCATAAAAGTTTTCTGTATTTTTTTTTTGTAAAATTTTTCCGTATAAATTTAGAAGGAATATGTTAAGATTGTCTATGATTGTTAACGTTTTTATAAAATTATGAATAAACATTTCAGGAAGAATATATACGATTTTCGGTATATTGTAACTCATTGATTTAGTTTTATGCGGTTTTAAGAAATTATGGAACGTATCCTTTATTTTTATACGTGTGTCTAGTCCTTTTTTGTGCGATTTATTTTTATGCGTTTTTCTGTGGAACGTATCTACCGCATAAAAAGAGAACCAAGTGTAATTAATATTGATTAGGATTTGTTGTTTATAGTGTTTGGTTTAAAGATTAAGATTTAAATTTTGATTGCTTTTTTTTCTTCGAATTTTAAGAGTAGAGTGCGTATGATGCGCCACTGTTTACTGTGCTCTTTATTAAAGTGCTTGGGAGGCGCTAGGACAAAAAAAAATAGAAGTGGAACAAATGCCATAAAAAGGGATAACATTTCCGCAAATTGCAGGACACTGGGAATATATTCTCGCAGTCATCTTTTTATGACGGCGAGAATATGTTATTAGATTGGTAACCAAACAAGGAAGGAGAATTTTACGATTGGAAAAAAAAAACAAAAAAAAAGTAATACGGATAAACCCGCTGCGACATATTCATGTGGAATGTTGCAACTCAATTATTTATATTTGAGTGCAAGACACAAAAGACTTTTGTCATAGTCGAGGGTTTTGCTGCCTGCACACGGCATTGAAGAATATTTCTATTACAATACATATATATATTTTTTTACAAAAGAATGTATTCAGGACGTTTTAGTGTAATCTAGGCTAAGGCCTCGTCGGCAGTTTAAGAGTCCCCCCACATACGCAGATTTGATTGTGTTTTCATCTCCTCCCTCGCGTTGGAAACGGCGTCAATTTTTGACAATTGCTTCCCATAATTCACACAACATTTCTCGCTGTTTCCATTTTCTCGGCGGAAGCAGGAAATATTAAAGTAAATCATCCATGAAACGCTTTGATAAAGATTTCTTTTCTTTCCTATTTTTTTTTGTGTTCGGTGTAATTGTTTCCAGTTGGAGTAAAAATGCGGAGTGGCAAACGACCCTTCGGGACATTTGCACGAGTGGATGACAAGTTTCTATAGTTTGCGCTTTCGGCGCTTTAAAAGTTTTAATTGCATTGCTCTGTCTCTCTATTTAAATGCGGTTTCCCTTTCGACGAACTCTAACCCTTCACTTTCAGTGTGCGTACATACATCGGGATCAAACAACTTCTGTACAAGGATCATCATTAAAATCGCTACAACTAATTATGTTTCTCTGTTCCAGGTATGGCGAACTTCATCCAGTTCCGTAGATCTCGTAGATCCTCGACTGCCAGCGTTTATATGCAGGTAAATCTCATTATTGAAATATTTTCAAACAATAGAAAAACTTACAATCAATAACCAGTTGCATTGATTCACATTTTCTAGCTGATTCGAAAGTCTATGATTTCATGAAATTTCAATAAATTTATCGAAATAAAATACTAATTTGTATCCGGAACACTATTATTAAGAATATTGTTATAATAACAATAATAGCAAACACTGCATATGGATATATAAAGATAGGATTAATACAAAATTATGTAGTGTAAATAATGTATTTATTACACATAATTGAAATTGTGAAACCTATTGCTTTAAATTTCTTTATTATTTCTGAAATTCCATAGCAATTTATATGTGTGTGTAATATAAAGTGCAAACAACAATTCCGCAAGACTTATATATCATTGGAATGGTTTTGCGGACATTGATGCGATAATAAAATTCGGGGAATGCCCATTAAACGCATGTGACCGTAAGTGCCCTGCGGTCAGCGACGCCACGCCAATTGCTTTATAATTACACACACATCACGTAACGCACCCTCCACCCTCCGAACACGCACATACACACACACAAACTAATATCCATTCGGGCAAAATAATATACGCACTAAACCACCGAAACACGCGCAGTTATGTTTTAGATGTATATTAGGGTCATTGCAATTAGGGCCCTAATCATTTATCCCAGATCCCGCAGACGCACACAGATCGTTCACCGGATGCTTAGTTGAGCTATAAATTTAGAAAACTCTCACACGCAATTTGAAACTTTTTAATTATATAAATCAATTACATAATATGCAATATAATAATAGTAACCTTTTTTTAATGAATCAACTAATAAAAAAGGATTTTTTTATAAACTACGACTTGCATGTTATGTCATAGAGTAAGCACATCTCGTACGAAGTACTTGTCACTTAATTGGCAAGCACAAATATGGGATTTCAGATGTTTTTGACATATACAGAAAAATACATAAGAGTTCGGCGGAAAGACTTAGGTCGATAGCCCTTTGGTTACAATTGGTGACTAATAAAGATTTTTTTTATTTATTTTTACATAAGAGTTTCTAAAAATATATAAATTTCAAAAAAATACTCAGAACAAATTAATGTTAAAAATTGTTATAAAAAAAACTTTATTATTTAGTTGTACTGCTATATTAATAAGTAGTAAGACATAATTGAATACTTTAATTACATTTTTATTCAATGTATAACACAATATAATACATTTTCAATTAAACATCAAAGTATTAGAAATAAATTATATAATTAATATCCAAATTATATGAGCCTGTAAATGAATACTTGTGATTTAGATCTATAATTACATTAGTAAATATAAATAGAACTACTCAAAATTAAGGTCATCGATTTTTCTGTGTGGCTGTAACTTTTTTATTTGATAAATTGATTCCGTTTGTTTTAGGTCATTATTTATTTATGCATCTAAGTTATTCACTTCCATAAATAATATTAAGTATTTTGCATGTTAATCAACTAATGGTTGATACATTTTGAGCACCCATTATCATGTTAATATCCATTACAGTTATGAGCTGAAATTCATTATATAATATCATATTATCTTAATATCTAATTACAATTGCAAATCCAGTGGATTGAAGCGTTTCAATTACCAGACAATTATTTGCATAAATTAAATACTAATGCTTTTATTTGATAATCCAGTCGCAACAGTTCAAAAAAATGTTGTTTTTATAATGAATGTAATAAAATATTTAGAAATTTTAACGAAAATATAGTAAAATAGAAAATATTTTATATTCAAATTATTTACTAAATGGTGGATGCGCTTGGTAAATTGTTGATCTTTGTTTAAAATATATTTGTTGAGCTATATAAGTATCTTTTAATCATGATAAGTTTCAGTGTGTTTGTAGGGAAAATTAGTGTAGATCACAATGTTGTTCATAGATGAACAAAAAGTTAATGTTCAGAAATTTCATTAATATATAAATTTTTCAATGCAACTGCAAATAATATATTTCAATAAATAATAATGAATTGGTAGTTGATAAATGTCTATTTGTTAAATAAATACCGTGATTAAAATGTCATCGATGAACAATAAATTCTGATTTCCGTCTGCATTTCTGATGCAGCAGTGGCAGCAGCTGGTGAATGGGGGGAAAAGTGCATAAAATAAAATGAAAACATTGCGCTATCCCTGCATCTGACAGCAACATAACTAAATTTATGTACGTTTCTCGTGCCTTTCCCCACCTCTGCTTTTTTTTGTTTGTTTTTTTGCATTTCCGCGTATCGGACGTATCGCATTTTCCTGTTTTCATTTAGTTGCTGTCTCGCCTCTCATTTCGTCTCGTCTCGACCGATCGTAATTTTCTTTTCGCTTTGTAATAAATCAATTGAGACGACGCCGAGGACCGACGCTCGTCTGCTGATGTTTATTCGAGTATTAATAAAAGTACTGCAGGACGTGCGAGTATTTAAAAAAAAATGGTCCTTTCCACGAATGTCACTTCGACGCAGATTTATCATAAACGTTATTTATGGTCCTCATAACGTCTAATATATATCTTTAAAAAAAACGATTAATAACTTTTCGTGCTCCTTGCAAATGTCATTTAGCCCCGATTATAGTCATAAATATTTTCGCTTAATATTGTATATGAATATTTTTACATAAACAGCGGAAAATGTAATAAAATTTAAATGATTGTACGAAAGTGCGTATAAAAATATATGAGATTGTAGTGTAGGCGGCTTAATTTGTTATTCGAGATTTTTTATTTAAAAAAGTTAATAAAATTAATAACCGAATCGAACGTAATTTCTTCCTAAAGCTTGTTCGAAGACAGAAACTATTTTTATAATCATAAAATGGTATTATACCACGTTTCTTATTTATATGTTTATAACGGTAATTCAAGTAATTGTATACAAAAACATTGATCATATAATAATAAGAGTGTAATAATGTTAAAAAAGCTATGCAGTAACAACTTTAACCCTTTACAGCCCCGACGTTGAAATTTCCATGCTAAAATTTGACTTATTATTATTTCCTGGTAATGGTTTCATTTAAAGCAGTGATTCCTAAAGTGAGCGCTGCAGCGATCCAGAGGGCGGTAGAAACATTAATACATATATCTTTCTGTTTAATTGCTTTTGAAATTTGAAAATAATAATTTCCAAAGGGGCGCTGAGGAATATTTTTTCTGGAAGTTTGGGATTCACTGATTTAAAGGTTCTGTTGGATTATCGTTTGTAATCTGAGTTGTCACAATGCCAAATAAACGTATTGTTCGTTTACATTACTACTATACACTTTGAATAAAATTGGACCTAATGAAAATACAATATGACGGCAAACGGTTAATATAAAAGTAATTAATTAATAAGTTATAAAATCAAAATTCTTCATTCCTAAAGAATTTGTGTAAAAGAAATCCTTCGAACCGGATTTGAACCAGTGACCTATGGATATCTACTACTTAGTATTACGAACTACAGTCCACCGCTCTACCAACTGAGCTATCGAAGGTTATATAAGTTTAGAGGATAACTTTCTATATGGAGTGGGTGTTACTGTAAGCGCCTCTAGTGTCATTATTTTAAAATGTATAAGGTCCTGTGGCGCAACGGATAACGCGTCTGACTACGGATCAGAAGATTCCAGGTTCGAATCCTGGCAGGATCGACTTCTTTTTTCAAAAATCTATTTAGTAATAGCTTTGAGTATAAATAAATTTATTTAATTAACTATAGACTAATGCTGAAACGAAACTTAACTCTTTAAAAAATATATTTTTGGAGCTTTGGCGCAAATAAAGTAGAATTATAAAACAAAATTGTTTTTATATTAGTATTTTATTAATATTTATTAAATAATAACAAATATATTTCAACTTTCATTCATTAATTTTATTAATATTTAACAATTGCATATATAAATTAAGTTATGAAAAAAAATGTTATATTGTGACTTCAAATGTTATTAATAATGATTAATAATTAGCGATAATATTGAATGAATTTGTGAATGAAATTCGATTTGGATTGGAGTAAAGTGGAATACTACTAATACTGTGTCAGTCAATCCCCATTGATGCATAATTTAGATACTGTCCCAGTAAATTGATTAAAACAAGTTCTAGTGAATTATTACCATGACAGATCTCCCACGAGGCCGATGCCAGCTTTGTTTCATTAAGTTTTAACTTAGTTGTGAATCGTTTTTTGATTTATAAATACGATTCATTTAAACATAATAATTAAAAATTGTTTGGCAATATTATGTATGTAATTTTTTCAACTAATTTTTTCATATTTGGGTCAATGTTGAAGCGCGCTGTTTATAAATTTAATAAAAGAATGATCTTATGTAAAATGAACACAGAACCGGAATAAAAAAAGGAGGTTGCTTCGGTCCGTAGTTCCGTTGACCTCTGAAAGTCGTGCACGTAAATATTATTAGATTTTGCAATTTTCGTACGGTGCGTTTCATTCTTGGAAGGTTGGATGGAGCGCGCAACTCGCAGCAGCATTAGTCGCTAGTTTTAATTGCGCTGCATAATTACATCTATCATAGTAATTCCGTTCGCTGCGACTGGCATTGAAGAATAGGGTCTGGCAGAATTCTAGTTGTATTGTATATGAGTAGGTGCAGTGAGGGGGAGTCGAGTGCGGAGAGTAGTAGCCAGACGCACAATGCGTTCGAAAATACTCGCTTACTAAATTACAATCGCGTGCCACATGTGTGTGTACAAGCACTTCGACTATATCGACTATGTGCATACACGAAACTAAAGTACGTTTATATTGTTTTTATCGCTTCGGCAACTGTAGTTTGATGTGTCATCCTGTTACCTTCCTAAACTGTGATGTTTCTATTACTCGATGCACTGTTTAAGTGACTTAATGACCAAGCGGATTATTATAGTGAATAATTCCGAATACGTGCCAACCATGGCACGATACTACGGGGTAACTATTGCATAATTGTATATTTATTAGAGTTTATTCAAATTACACAACAAATTAGGTTCGTTTGTAAACTAAAGTTATAATCATGGTTCTATACTATTATTTATTTAGAAATGTACGAGTATAATGAAAATCCCATTGAAAACGTCATTGCAATATATAAGAAAGGTATCATTTCTCATATTAATAATAATTAATATTTAGTCAATAACTTTCAATTTGAAAATGGATATACAACACTATCTAAAGTACCGTAACTAATTAAATATAAATATAGAAAGATATTCTTATCTTAACCAATACTTAAATATTGCTACAAACGGAATTACGTGTTTGTTTATTTTGCAAATTGGTCTCCATGCGTGATTAATTTATTTAATGCATGACCTGTATAAGTTTATTTTATCACAACGACAGGAATTCGATTCTATTAGTCTTCTCTAAGCCATACAAGTTGATGGTTTGGTGTGTTCTAGTCAAGCCACGTGGGGCGGGAGCGGAGGGGAATTTAAACGGCTGGCTGCCCACCGCCTGTGACTCACTCAAATGCCCCTTCATTTATTTCCCAGTAGGTCTTCCACTAGTCACCACTCTGCAGAGATTTTACTTAGCCTAATGATTTTACAAGATGTAATCTTATGTTGATGTAACACTGTACATTATATTTATGCAATATTACAGGAAACGCACAAATACATTAGTATATTATGTTTAAAGCTACTATTTATGTTAATTCAAAGGCGATATAAGTAATTATAAAAATAAAATAATTATTGAATAAAAAAAAACATTCTAAAAAAACTTAACAATTATTTTTCAGGAAATTAAAATTATATTATGAATAAGCATAATTTGTGATAAAAAAAAATCACAAATGTAATAAGTTATTGGATATAGAATTAAAATTCAGAGATAAGTGTCGTTTTCTTCTTGCTCGGCTTCAAACATTAACAATCTTTTGTATTGCCGCTCTTGCATCCTGTGGTAGGCTTTAGAATTTATTAAACACTTGTGACTGCAGCTGGGTATGATCTGCCGCCTTCTGACATCTCGATTGGAAAAGTATAATCTCCTGAGGTTCTTCAATTGCTCGTTGAATGGTCCCCAGTCGCGATGTATTGCCGTTATATTTTCAACTTGCTATAAATGAAACATAAATAGTTTCTACTTATACTAGAAACAAGAACACATTGGAGTGAATCGTGTTTACCTTCATGATCAAGTGATGAACGATCTTTGATATTATTATTATTGACGTTACAATAACTAAAATCATACCGAATACGAAATAGGATTGGGAATTCTTGCTATATTTCATTCTCAGCTTGATTTGGAATTCTGTAACTAAAGTTGCGATGGCCGTTACCTAAGAAAACCCCAATATTATTGGATAACAATTATAAATATTATTATCATAATTACACTTGTGTAATATGGCATAGGCGCTAGTAAATATAGCCAAATTTTATTTGGGCTGTAGTCGTACATAAAATTGAAATCATCATTGAACCGATTTCCGGTGTAACTGAAGTAAATTCCAAAGGTCAAGAAAGCCAGAACCACGTTATTAATTAAGAACATTCCATCTTTTACCCAGCTTCGAAGCATGTGGTAGTAACTGAACTGTAAGCAGATATGAACTATCAGTATACTTGCTGCGTGGTATACACTATAAACTAAGAGTCTGCAGTTCTTTTTTATATTCATTGCTTCAATGATACCATCAGAAAAAATCAAGATAGCAAAAATGTTATTTATCATCCATGTATAGAATGTGCAGAACATCCATAGAAAAATGCAACTGGAAACATATTTTGTTCTCCATATAATATCAGGTATTAAGTTTTGCATAAAATCTGAACCTAAAAAAAGAAAAACAATTTTTCAATTATATTATTTACAATTCTACCATATTATCTAATACTCTCGAAATTCAGGCAATCCCAGTCTTGGAAAGCATAATCTAAATATGTGATTGATACGACGATAGCATAATGTGATCCAACTACAATTAAGAAAACTATACGTGCTGAGCACATAATTACAGTTGCAGTTTGCGGATCTACGCTTGCCGGCTTCATAACCGAGATCCAAATCAAGAATGGAAAAAGATGAGGTTTTACTGTGGTGGTGAACAAATGCATGAAAAACTGTGAAAAGAAAATGTAAATATTTATCTAAAAACTTCAGGTTTTTCTTTTACCGGAATATTTTTATAACTCTTTCTCAATGTTAATTTGGTCATTAAGTGGTTCACTTCGCTAAATCGTAAAATCAGATATAACAATGTAAAACTGAAGAAGATGATCATGGTTGCCAGATTTAGCAGGATGTACATGTTCAAAACCTTCTTCAATCGAGTCAGACTTAAGATGTAGGCAAGAAGTGCAAGTGCAAAAACCAATAGTTTAACTTCGCTATTAGGGATTCCGGTTTCTGTGTTTGTTGTGATATATCTATAACATGTAAATACAATGCAATTAAGTTAATACATCGTCTGTTGATTACCTGTAATAGTATGTAGTCGCTATAGTTGTATTTTTATTACATGTGTACTTCTTTAAAGATCCGAATATCGTAACGCACTCTGATTTATTACTTACGAAACTACAGCTTAACCAGCAATTACGGAATAATAAATAATGAGTGAAGATTATATTGGCTGCAGAGTTGTAGTACCACCTAACTTGAATTATTAAATTGGACAGGAGTAAACAGTAAGGAATACCTAAAATACAAATATATGTATTGAATGTTATTATTAATTTGCATTGATTTTACCTATTAATAGAGGCATCGATTGGAAGAAGTTCACATATAATTTCTTTGCGTAGCTGCTCATACTCATGATGAACATAATAAGCGGCATCTCGGTTAATATCGTTATACCTACTAAAATGACCAAACCCAGCGCAGTTCCAAACTCAATATAATATTTAATTACATTTCTAACTTCGCTCATATTGCATTCATAAAAAATGAGCATTGAGTAAAACTGCCACGTTTTTAATTCGAAATTGTAATTGTTGTTTTCCTAAAATTTAATTAATTTATATTAAATTTAAATTGTTTTGAACATTTCTTACATTCAAGTAGTGAAATAAATTTATCAATGCTAAATATTTGGATTGCTTCATCTTCGAAGATCGTGTATACATTATGTTTAACTGATCTCTGTCATTTATTATGAGTCTATCTATAACCTCTTCATCAAATTGCTCTTTCGCTTGTTTTTCTTCTAAATCTTTTCTAAACGTGTTCAATTTATCTTTCCAAAACTGTTGAACTGATCTCGTCGGCTTCTGCTTTTTCTTTCTTTTCATTTTAGCATTAATTTTTGGTACGTTGATCTTCGTTTTAACATCAGATTGTCGCGGTCTTCTTTCCTCATTTCGCAGTCTTCTTTCCTCATTTTGCGGTCTTCTTTCCTCGTTGCGATTAAACTCGAAAAATAGATTTGCTGGAATTAGGATCTCTTCTAGTTTTTCTTTAACTTTCTGGAGGTAATTCATTTTGGACGTATTCACGTTACATTGACATATTATATTTGTTGTTATGGATATTAAAATAAAATTTAGCTTTTATCTTTCATCTTCAATCTTAGAATATAATTTACAATAATAAAATATGTTTTATGGAATACGATTATTCTGATGATTATATTGAAAGTGCAATAATTTTAAATACTTTTCAATATTCAGTTTTGAGAAATTATAATTTCAAATCTTGTTTTTCATTTTTTAAACATTATGATGTTATTTGGATATAAACGTGAAATGAACCATTCTCGACTATTTAAATAATAACAATACTTATAGAAATAATCATACAATAATACAAATTATTACAGCAAAAATATGTGAAATTCAAATACAAAAAATTCATTTATAATAATTAGATTTGTAATTTAAGTGGATCATTTTTCTAATATTTTGTTGAGTTGTGATTAGACGATTTATAGTTGTATGTTTATGTAATTCTTGTTTTTTTATGACTTTGTATTGGTATATATTTTATGACTTAACTAATGTAATTTTTGTTACAGTTGTTGTCTGCATTGGCAAGTGATTTGGATCACAAACTCAGTGAATTGTGTACAACACCACCGCCTCCGTACGACCGCCTCTCGGACAATGAACTTCATACCAGGTCAGTCCATTCACTCATTCATTGGACTTTTGCTCAATTGGTTCTGAAATAAAATGAATTCCATTTTAATTAGATCACAAACGAAAAACTCCATCGTGGAACTGAATTTAATTTTGGGACTTGACGCGAGATAGTCATCACGTGCTCTCCTCCCCTGTCGACTGCTGCTCTATGGTTATTGATGTGGTTGACAGGGGATAGGGAAGGAATGAATGTTGCCCTCTCGTTTCGTTTCTACGTTTGCGGCGGTCGGAATGTAATAATATTATCGAAAGGGAAAAAATTTGTCAGATGGATACAGTTGTCGGGAAAATCGGTAGGTCTTGATGCGAGGGCGCACGAGGCCGAAGGAGGAAGACTTCCTAATACGTTTTTTTTTCTGTCACCAATATGTTGGTGGGGTGTAGAGTGTTTTTGGGGAGGCGTAAAGGTATTGAAGCGTCCGCCTCGGGGGCTCTTCCATCACTCATTCTCGAGCAGATCGAGAAATAAAATGTACTAAGGGTCATATAATCATCCCGAGGGAAAGAATATGCTTTACCAATCGATTTCTTCGGTTGACATTACTGTACAATATGTATTGAAGATATAGCAAAAATATCTGATGTTGTATGCAATCCCGCGTCAAGTGTATATACGTATAAATCAATAGCTTAAAATTTATTTTGGGATTAGACTGCTTCGGTAAAGGGTAATTTATATAATGGTTACTCGATGCAGAGACGCGGATTTAAAGTAATCCGAAACGCAATACATTATCCTCAGCACTGAAGTTATTCCACAGATTAACATTACAGTTTTGATTAATTGTACTGTGTTTATTATTGTTTTTTTAACAAGAAAACTTTAAACAAAATATAGAGTAAATTTACATATATTTTATTTCCTTTTGTCTTATCCATACTCCCTTGTAAGTGTATTTAAAGTGTAAGAACATATATTTTGTTTTAATATATCTAAAATTATCAATTCAAGACATTTAATACGCTCTTATTTTTTTATTATTCTGGTTTAAATACATTAACTATGTATATATTTGTAGTTATTTATTTAATACTTAAGTACTTAACATTATAATTAATATTTTACGTTTAAAGCTACTTTTCCGATAGTAATAATATTTAGAAATTGTATCTTGCGCTAACGAAAGCTCCGTAGTCGGGTCTACGAGATCCACCGGGTCCTCCGAAATGCCTGTTATAATATGCACCGACTCCGGCTTGGGTGCGCTTCGAATTTAAGAAATTGTATTGACCTTTCGCACTGACATCCGTTCCGAAACCACGTGTATTCGATGCACCCAAATTCAAGTTACTTCCTGCGATATTAATTAGATTATTGTAGCATCCACTTAAACAATAACAAGAACTATTTACCAGTCGGTTTATGATTGTAATCTAAATTGCCACCGGCTGTCAGAGGTCCATGATTTTTGAAGTCTTTCTGACCGAATGCGGTACCATCCAGTCTATGATTTTGATTCTCAAAAAGCTTTCCTGTGTGAGACAATGAAACTCCGTTGTTATCAACATTAGCTTTAGTTTGTCTAAAAACACATCGAACAAAAAATTTTTTTTTTGATAAAATTATTAATTAATGATAAATACCTTCTAACGCGGTTATGTTCTTCGTTTAGAGGAACTAAGTAAAATAATTCTCCATTTTCTTTCTCGAAAATTTCGAAGCTGGAAGCCAAGCAGGCTGCAAATGAAAGCAACACAACAATCAACGCGATTTTAGACATTGTCGGTGATGTTAATACTATCGACTGATGATGTCCTAGGTCTTTATATACTAAACTCCCACTTAACCTCGGTAGTCTGGGAATTCTCATTGCTCAAATTTGGTAATTATAAATATGAGTGTCTTGCTTAAACGTTACAGGGGATTCATATTTTACATTTCATAACTGTATCTGAGATAAGGGGATATCAACGCTTCATTTTCTGTAAATAAACATAGCATTATCAGCAATTGTGTTAAATATAAATAGCTCGGGATATCCCGCGAAAAAAAAATTGCCGTGACTCTTAATTGAAATGCGGGACTTCCCATGTTATGGATCCATATAAATACTCGTGTTGAGTGTACAGCTTCATCAGTTAAGAGCAATCCGAGCTAAGAGCAACAATTAGACACGGGAGATGTATAGACACGCGTTTTTGTTTGTTGCGTTCTGCGCTTCCCTGAGTTTCGCTTACCAAGCGGATATTGAACCAGTATTCGATCGCTACGGGCAAGAGTTTTATTTGATCCCCGCCCAAGAGTATCAATTGTCAAGACACAGGAGGTAAATACAAATAACTACCTATGAGAATGTTATTTTATGCGTGTTTATTGCATTTAGGGAGAGCGATCACAATATTAAACACAAAACTTGGGGTTACAACGATGAGAAGAAGGGAGACGTTGTAGGTCTTGAAGGAATCTACACTCATAGGCCATCGAGTAGGTGCTTTTAGTGATTGAGCGTGAATAATTTATATTAATGTTTTTAACTGCAATTGTAGATAGCCAAGTGGGAGTTAATGCTGAAAAGAGCCAAAGAGCTAACAGTCATGCTCAAGTTTCTGGTAAAACTCAGTACGAGACTGATGATGGTAATGGCCGATTTTCGGTGGGTGCTAATGTCAATAAGCAGTGGAATCAGCGTGGACAAACTCACACTGGTTATGGATGGGAAGTCGAAGGCGATTGGGATTTCTAATCGTTATTAACTGTAATTTATTATGTTTTGTAAATAAAAAAGGATAGTTAAAAAAATGCATATATTTATTAATTTATAAAAACTATATTGCATTCAATTAAAATATGACTATTTACCCACAATGAGTTATCTCAGACGTGCATATTGGTGTCATTATGTTCAATATCTGAAAGTAAGAATTTTAAAGAATATTGTTTATGAATAATTGATAATTGCATGGTTTTAAAAATTTTCTTATTAGAAAGTGGTAATTCCTCTTTCTTTGACATTTTCTAGTAAATAAAGACACATGTTCAAAATGTAGTACATTATGGTACACCACCCACCATCAAAGAAAATTTAATTATCTTCATGTAAAAAAATACAGAAACTATACCGCGTACAACTTTAAAGCAATACAAGAATATTTTTTGTGGAGTAATGAATATTTAATGATTTGTATAATTAATATAAACTATAAAAGAATGGAACTTTTACCATTTCTAATACATTAAATTCAATGACAAAAATAATGTGTAATATCGACATGACTAAATCCAGAAGCCTCGATTACCCCAAATCAGAATTCACCTCATAATTTTTTTATTCATGAAAATTTTAAGTTTTACTTTATTTATTTTTTTATGTCAAGAGCATCCAAATGACGGCACTTGCTATATAGAAACATATTAAATTACTAGATATAATCTAAAACACAATACTCATTTCATATAATATAAATAGACAATTATTTAAGTTTAGTTTATTCTAATGTTTATATTATTATGTTATCACAAAATAATATTTATTCCTTAAAATATGTGTTATTTTGAAATATTTTGCAATTTCTTTGATTTTGCAACTTTATATTTTTTAAATTAGATAATCATAATATTGTGCAATAGTAAATTTGTTAGGATAATATTTTTTGCATTAATGTTATAGTTTTCCAAATTCAAGTTTATATTTAGAAGAGTTATGCTTTTCAACAAAATTGAGATAATACTGTTTTTGTTTGCATAACGTGCTTTAATCGTAAAAGAAGTATTTTCAATAATAAATCGATAACATCAAAAATACGCTAAACAAAATCCGAAATATCCTGAAAAAAAAATATCGACTACGAGATAAGGCGATCTTGGATGCGGGACTTTACATAATAAAATCTCTAAAATTTCAGTATATAAACTGCATTCGGTCTAGCAATCTGAACAGTTTACAGTAATCTTAGTTACAAGAAACAAGTGAAATCGAAGATGTTCAAACAATTGTTTCTGGTTGTAGCGCTCTGCGCTTCTTTGAGTTTGGCTTACCAAGCCGACCTCGAACCGGTATTCGATCGGTATGGACAAGAGTTTTATTTGATTCCTGCACAGGAATACCGCATTGCTAGACATAGAAGGTAAATACAAATAATATAAATGTAATTATTATTCTGTAATTACGTATTGGTTTAGAGCTAGTGATCATAATCTCAAACATAAGACTTGGGGTTACAATGATGAGAAGAAAGGAGACGTCATTGGATTAGAAGGGAAATATACGCACAGACCAACCGGTAAGTAGTTTAATAGGATTTTGGTGAATCTTATTAAATGAGTATTTTCTATATTGCAGACAGCCAATTGGGTGTTCATGCTGAAAAAACACAGAGGGGTAACAGTCACGCTCAGGTATCTGGAAAGACCCAATTCGAGAATGACGACGGTGATGCTAGATGGTCAGTTGGAGGAAATGTTAACAAACAGTGGAATCAGCGTGGACAAAGCCACACTGGATATGGGTGGGAAGTCGAAGGTGACTGGGATTTCTAAACTTTCAGAACATACCTATAAGGCATAATATTTAATTTTTATAAATAAATTTACAAAAAAAATATATTTATATTTGTTTTAATGATTATTACTGATTTAACATTTAAATTGACGAATATTGTATTAAAGTACATAAACAATAAACAATATTTTACTCATAATACCTATAGTTAAAAAAGTGACATATGTTATCAATGACAACTAATGAAATAGTGAAAATATGGACTAAGTCATGATTTAATCCGTTCCAAAATTTATTCGTATAGTGAAATACTCGTATAGTGAAACATATTCAAAAATACACATAATATGTGTATACAAGTTATAAAAATGATGTAGTAGGCGCGCAATCCAGGACTTCTCTTATCATCGTCACTCGTTAAGCGAGTCATTTTTCTTACAATTCATTATAGTTATTATTTATGTTTAGTTATATAAATATTGGCATTAGGGAACAATTTATTTTAAAATATAATCTTTTTTTATATTCATAATTTTGTTGGTTAAAAACAAAGGATTAGTAAATTATGAATAGTTAATAGAAAAGTATTCAAAGTTATAACTTTGGGAGGAAAGACTGTGATTAATAGCACTAGCTATGTATTATATTTATTTAAATTATATCTAATAATTTATAAATATAATACGTTTTCACGTTATTAAGATATTAAGTATTAAATCGTGAAGATTATTGAAAAACATAAAACATTTTTTTTGATTTCTTTGGTTATAAATAACTTATAGATGAAGAAAGTCAGAAGTATACAAAATAGGATTTGTGATATATTTTTTAAAGTAATAAAATATTACATTTTTTTCAATTCAATTAAATATTTATTTAGATTAAAATACGTTATGGTTCTTAATATAACAATTTCAATGCAAGTTTAGAAATCCCAATCACCTTCGACTTCCCACCCATATCCAGTGTGGCTTTGTCCACGCTGATTCCACTGTTTGTTAACATTTCCTCCAACTGACAATCTAGCATTACCATCGTCATTCTCGAATTGGGTCTTTCCAGACACTTGAGCGTGACTGTTACCCCTCTGCCTTTTTTCAGCATGAACACCTAATTCGCTGTCTATAATACAAAAAAAATAAATTAATTACAGTCATCAAAATATCATTCAACTACATACCGCTTGGTCTGTGAGTGTATTTTCCTTCTAATCCGATAACGTCTCCGTTCTTCTCATCATTATAACCCCAAGTCTTATGCTTGATATTATGATCACTATCCCTAAATCAATATAAAATTACAAAATGATAATTACATTTATAATTTTTATTTACCTTCTATGTCTGGCAATGCGGTATTCCTGTGCAGGAATCAAATAAAACTCTTGACCATACCGATCGAAAACCGGCTCAACGTCGGCCTCGTATGCCAAAGTAAGAGCAGCGCAGAGCGCTACAACCATAAACAATTGTTTGATCATCGTCGGTTTGCAAGTGTTGCGATTAGCAGAGGATGTTGTTAACTGGTGACACTTCTCAATTGAAGACGCTTTTTATAGTAAGATCGAGAGGAAAGTCCCGCGTCCGAATCCAGTTGTTATCTATTCTACATTTTGGTTGTTTTCTTTTAGGGGGATATCCCAATGCTATATTTGTATATCGAGATCAGCGTGTTTTTCTTTAATTTATCATTTTGCTGATCCTTTTTAAAAACATGGTAAACTGATTAATTGTCTCTTATCTAAATGTAAATTATCATGTGTGTTATGGAGTTGTACAATTCGATAAAATAAACGTTCAACAATTTATTTTTACTTTTTTAAATACGCAAATCTATTATATTAAAAGTTTACCTTCGAATTATTAATTAATGCACTTATTTTATGTAATATTGATTTACTGATTTCAGAAGAAAAAAAAACGTGCGTTTTTCTCATTGTTAATAAATTTATTTACTAAAAACTTCTTGTATTTACAATTATGATTGTTATAAATATAGGTAAATATCTGATACACTTTATTTCAATTCCAAGTAATAATAAAAGTAAATACATAACTTGACATAATCTTACCATCATTTAAACGTTATATATAAATATTTTCAAATTAATTCACTATATGATAAAGATTTCCATTGATAGTCTTTTTGCATACATTATAGCGAATGGATATGTTTAAATAAATAATACTAAGAATTTCAATATTATAATTTTCATGTTAAGTATTTATATTTTATGTTGGGGTTTCTCTTTAGAGCTTCATTTTATTTATTTATATTTTGTTGCTAAAACAGGTATCCCCAGCCCGTTTCAAAGGTTTGTAAGTCAGGGACATTTTAAAAAATGTAAAATATACTTATCTTACTAGATTTTATCATGGTTTTTACTTTTATATATGTTAAATTCCGTATTACTGATTGCATACATTTGAAAAATAGATTCAAATAAACAAAATACTTTTTAATGTATTTTACAAATACTTTTTAATGTAGACATCACAATTATTTAATAGAAAATGACAAAAGAAAGAAATGCAATCAGTACATCTTTCAAAAATGTTATATTTTATTAAAGAAAATAATAAAATAATAGTAATTTTTATTGCAATAGTCAAACGAAAAGTAAACATAATTAAATACATATAGATAATTATAATTATTAATAATAATAAGTAATAACTGTTGCAAATGGGTCATTGTATCCTAATAATAGTATTTATCACTTTAATTACTGTGCTGCTATAAATATATAAACATATATTTGCTTCTCCATACAGAAGTTAGTTGGCTGTCGAAAGGCAAATTTTTGCAATCTGTAATTCTGTTAAAATTACTTTTGGAAATTGTTAAACCTATGGCAACAAAATTGATTGAATATGTTTTTTTATAAGTTCCGTTATATTTTGCTCTAAAATTGATTTGTTTATACTTGATGTCTATAAAACATATTTACGTGGAAACATTCAACTATATAAGGACCACTTAAACCAGTTAAAAGAAGATATCAATGTTCGTTACAAAGATTTAGAAAATTTAGATGTCCTGTCATGGATTATAAAAGCTTCTGAAATCGATACATCCGATATTGATTTTTTGAAACATGTGTATTTACCAAATTTTGGAATTTCAAAGACATTAGATTTCAAAGACGTTAGATTAATAAATATATGCGAATAATTATTTTAGATTAGACTAATTCATAGTAATTATTACAAGAAACCAATTAAATATATCAGAATGATTTAAGATTATTGTTGACTATTTTTACATATAAAAAGTATTACTAAAAAACATCAACTACAACCTTCGCATTATTTATTTTAAATTATATTAAACTTGATTTTAAACCTTTTTTATATAAAAAAAAATGGTTAGAACCCTTGGTTTATTTTATATAGTTAGGAAAAATCAATTACAGATAACGTTTGCTTACTTTGTTCTAAAAATATTATTGTTTTTGTTCTTAATGTTGTTCTTAGAAACTAAATACACAATAAATAAACAAGAACAAACATATGAAATTGATGTAATGGTTTACGAAATAATTGAAAAAGTTTATAAAAAGGTCTAATTTTATTTCAGTCATTAAATAATAGTACATTGAATTTAAAAGTCCCAATCGCCTTCGACTTCCCAACCGTAGCCAGTGTGACTTT